TTTTTTTAGACAGTGTCTTACTATGCAGTTCAGGCTGGCCTTGAGCTCACTTTGTAGCCCAGGCTGGTCTCGAAGTTGCAAGGATCCTCATGCCTCAGCCTTCTGATCACAGACAGGAGTGTGCCACCACACCCAGCTTTATTTTTGAAACAACAGAATAAATAATTTGTGGAATTATTTGAACTTCTCCCCACTATATAAAGAGAGAAAAAAAGAAAAAAGAATATTCTCATATTAGAAAAACTATATTTACACTTGTGTATCTAGCATATTTCACTTAACATTATGTTCTCAAATTGCATTCATCTGCCTATAAATGCCTCAGTGTTATTTCTCTATGACTGAGTAGTATTCCATTGTGTATAAATACCACATTTTCTTTATATCTTCATCTGTTGATGGATGTATATCTGTTTCCAAGATCTAGTTATTATAAATTTTGCTATTAACAGGGATATGTATGTATCCCTGTAATATGATGACTAACTTTTTGAGAAGAAACCTAGAAGTGGAATAGCTGGGTCAAATGGAATTTCTATTTTATTTTTTTGAGCAATCTCCTCAAATGATAGCCATTCTTTTTGGGTTAAAATGGTATGTTAGTGTATTTGTAATTTGCATTTCTGTAAAGGCCAGCAGTGATGAATATTTTTTTATTTATTGGCCATATGTACAGTTGCCCTTTTTTACTGAGTCTTTTGTTTTCAGGGGTCTAATTTTTTTGAGTAATTTATATATTCTAGATTTTTAGTCCTCTTCAGATGGCAAAAAATTTTTCCCATTGTGTAGGTTGTCTGTTGGCTATTTCCTTTGCTGCACAGAAGTTTTCAAACTTAATATGATTCCATTTGTTCATTTTTAGCATTTTTTTCTTGAGCCATTGGGGTTCTATTCATAGAGTCCTGTCTATACCTATGTCTTCAAGAGTTTTACTATTTTACCTTCTAGCAGATTGCCTCTGTATTACCATTTTTTCCCATAATTTTATTGAGAAACAAATAGCAATGAGACAGTTTCAAATCAAATTGGTAGGACAGTTTCGATAATTAACACATTGCATACTCTCTTCCTTGTGGTTTGTATTACCATTTAGATCTTTGATCCATTTTGATTTTACTTGACCACATGGTGAAATATATAGGTCTAGACTCAGTCTTTTGCATGTAGATATCCAATTTTCTCAAAGTACCATTTATTAAAGACACTATCTTTCCTGAAGTGTGTATCTTTGGCATTTTTGTCAAAGATCAGATAGTTGGATGTACCTGGAGTTGTCTCTGCTCACCCTATTCTGTTCCATTGACAACATGCCTCTTTCTTTGCCGATATGATGCTACTTTAATCACAGTATATTATAAAATCACATTTGTAGTTTAACTTCAACTCTGGGATTGTGATTCCTCTTGTTTTGCTTTTGTTACCCAGGTTTGCTTTTGCTATTCTGGGACTCTTCTGGTTCTATATGAATTTTAGGATTATTTTCTCTAGATCTGTGAGAAATACTGTTGATATTTTGACTGAGATTGCATTAAATCTGTGTATTAGTTTGTATGTATAGCCATTTTGGTTATATTAGTTCTGCTGTTCCAGGAACAGGAGGTCTCTTTATATTTTCTAATGTCCTCTTTGATCTCCTTTATCAGAGTACAGTAGTTTTTGTTTCAGAGGTCTTTCACTTCCTTGGTTACCTTAATTCTTAGGTAATTAATTTTTCTTGGTACTATTATGAATAGTGCTATTTTCCTAATCTTCTCAACAAGTTCATTATTAGTGTAGAGGAATGCTATTGATCTGTGTGTTTATCCTGCTACCTAGCTGAATTTGGTTATTAATTTTAGGAGCTTTTTGGTGGAATTTTTTTGAGTCTTGTAAGATTGAGGATCATCCCACCTGCAAATGGTACTTTAAATTTTGTCCTTTCCTTTTCATATCCCTTTTATATTTCTTTTTCTTGACTGATTGCTGTAGCTAATGTTTTGAGAATTATGTTGAACAGAAGTAGTGATATTGGATATCCTTGTCTTTTTCATTATTTTAGATGGAAAGCTTTCAGTTTTTTCCTATTTCATGTGATATTGGGCCTAAATGGCTTTTATCAGATTGACATAATACCGTGTTTGTTTTGCGGTACTGGGGGACATAATATCCTTTTATTCCTATTTTCTTCAGGGTTTTTATCATCAATGGATGTTGGATTTCATCAAAGGCTTTTTCTGGTTCTACTAAGATGATCATGTGATTTATTTATTTTTTTTTTTTTTTGCGGAACTGGGGATTGAACTCAGGCCCTTGTGCTTGCCAGGCAAGCACTTATTCTACTGAGCCATCTCCCCAGCCCCGATCACGTGATTTTTGTTCTTGTTTCTTTTCTTTTTTTTTTTTCCCCCTGTATTTAGGACAGGGTCTACAGAGTCTCACTATGTAGATCAGACTCTAGTGATCTGCCTCTGTTCAGCCTCCCAAGTGCTGGGATTACAGGTGTGTGCCACCATGCCCAGTCTCAATCACATCTCAGCACTCCTTGGGAGGGAGGCGCATAGTAAGGCACAGCAAGGCACAGCATGCCAGGGATCGAGCCCAGCCACTGTGCCCTGCCTAAGCAGGCGTTTTACTCCACTAAACTATCAGGCTGGTCCTTTGTTTCTGTTTATGTGATGGCATTCTGTTTATGTGTCAATTTGCATATGTTGAACCATCCCTTGCATCTCTGGGATTGAAGTTTACTCAGTCATGGTATATGATCTATTTGATGATTTGTTGCAGTCTGTTTGCCCTTATCTTGCTGAGGTTTGTTTGTTTGTTTATTTTGTAGCCAGCTCAGCCTACCCTGGGGCAGGGCTGGTGTGGCATATGGTGCTGGGGATCGAACTGTGGTCTCTGAGCTTGCCTAAGCTTGCCTAAGTGGTGCTTTAGACTGCTGAGCTATCTCACCAGATCACTGCTGAGGATTTTTGCATCTATGTTCATTAGAGAGCTTCGCCTGTAGTTCTCTTTCTTTGGTTAAATCCTTGTCTGGTTTTAGGATCAGGGTAATATTAGCACCTAAGAATGAGTTTGGTAGGCTGGGAAGATAGCTTGGCAGTCTAAGTACCTTCCTGGTAAGCACAAGGTTCTAAGTTCAATCTCCAGTACTTCACGCCTGTTATCCCAGCACTGGGGAGGCTGAGGCAGGAGGATCACTATGAGTCTAAACTACATAGTGAGACCCTGTATCAACAAATCAAAAAAGAAAAGAATGGTTTTGGGAGTACTCCTTCCTTCTCAATTTCATTAGTTTGAGGAATATTGATGTTAACTCCTCCCTGAAGTTCTTTTAGAATTCAATAGTAAATCCATTAGGTTCTGGGCTATTTTTTTTGGTAGGTTTTTTATTATTTCTTCAATTTCATTGCTTATTATTGGATTCAAGATTTTTAAGTCATCTTGGTTCAGTTTTAGTAACATATTTATCTAGAAATAGATTTCTATAAATAAATATATATAAATAATATTTTTTATCTATAAATATATATATATATATTTGTGGAATAGCTGCTAATTTTCTAGATTTCAGAGGTATCTGTTGTAATTTTACCTTTTTTCATTTCTTTGGGTTTTTTTCACCTTTTTAATTTCCAATTGCATTGATTCTTTCCCTTTTTTTAATTTTCTTGATAAGATTGGCTAAGGTATGTCTATTTTATTATTTCAAAGAACCAGCTCTTTGAGTATTTTATTGTTGTCTTAGTCTCTGTTTCATTGATTGCCTTCTGATCTTTATAGTTTCCCTCCTGTAAGCTCTGAATTTGTATTGTTCTTGTTTTTCTAGACCTTGAGATACGTCATTAGGTTTCTTATTTGGGCCGTTTTTCTGACGTGGGCATTTAAGCTATAAACTTCCCTCATAGCCCTGCATTCATTATGTCTCGTAAGGTCTGGTATGTTGTACTGTTGGTATCGTTTAATTCTAGGAACTGTTTTATTTCTTTCTGAATTTCTTCTGTGAACCAAGGATTATTAAAGAGTGTATTGTTTAATTTCCACATGTTTGCATAATTTCTGTGGTTTCTTTGCTACTGATTTCTACTTGCATTGCTGTGATTTAATGATCTTAATAATATGCATGGTACAATGTCTGTTCTTTTACATTTACTTAAACATACTTTATTAGCTAGTACATGGTTTATTTTGGACTAAGTACCATGTGCTACTGAAAAGGATGTGTATTTGGTTGTTGGGTGGAACATTCAACAGATATCTATTAAGTCCTTTTGTTCAAAGGTTTGATTCAATTCTGATGTTTCTTTGTTGATTTTTTTATTTAGTTAATCTATTTTGATAGTAGGGTACTGAGGTCCCCCACTATAATTATATTGATGTTTATCTGATCTTTTATGTCCATAAGTGTTCGTTTTATGAAGTTGGGCGCACTATAGTTTGGTCAATTATATATTTTATAATTATTATCTCTTCCTGTTGAATAGTCTGCTCACCAATATGTAATGTCCTTTTTTGTCTCCTTTGATCAGCTTTGGCTTAAAGTTCACTGTGTCTGAAAATGGGTTAGGTATTTCTGTTTGGTTTTGGATTCTATCAGGCTTTCTTTTTTTGTGGCCGGCTCAGCCCACTCTGTGGGCAAGGCTGGCATGGCATGTGGTGCCAGAGATCAAACCAAGGTCCCTGCACTTACCCAAGCAGGCACTTTTGACCACTGAGCTATCTCACCAGCCCCCCTGCAGGCTTATCTTTGAATCCACAAAATTCATTTGTTTTGAGGAAAAGGGGAGCATTTAGTTCAGGTAATATGTTAAATTAACAATGTGATAACCTTGTTCAACACTTTACAAGCTTTTTGATCATGGTAGAAGGGTTTAGTATCAAAATGTCTATTCAAGAAATGTAGTCAAGCTGAGTATGGTGGCACAGGCCTGTAATCCCAGCATTTGGAAGCCTGAGGGAGGAGGATCACAAGTTGGAGGCTATCCCTGTCACAAGAAGAAAAAATAAAAATAAAAGGAAATGTCATCATGTACTTCAAAATAGGTTGTTTTAGGGATGCTAAGGTAGAGAGACTACTTGAGCCCAGGATTTTGTGACCAGCCTAGAAAACACAGTGATTCCTTTCCCCATCTGAGGAAAAGGAAAAGATTGTTTCCTTTTTTCTTTTTTTTTTAAACAGGGTCTCACTATGAAGCCCTGAAGTTGAACTCATAATCCTCCTGCCACAACCTCCTAATCTGCTGGCCAAATAGCTCAGCAGATTAAAGCATCTGCCTAAGCAGATACAAGTGCCAAGAGTTCCCTCCCCCAAGGGCATGCGAGGTGGCAATTGAGACTGGGCGTGGTAGTAGGCCTGTAATCCCAGCATTTGGGAGGCTACAAACAGGAGGATCACTATGAGTCCAATCTACTCAGTGAGACCCTGTAGACCCTGTCCTAAAATACAAAAAATAAAAATAAAAAATAAATAAATGCTGGGGTTATAGGTGTCTTACCACGCCCAATTTATTACCTTTTTTGTATTCTACTTTATGTGTTTTAATGTCAAATAGCTAATTTCATGATCAAGCAGCCAGACCAAAAGATTATTGTTCAAATAATTAGGGGAGAGGGAAGAAGTAGGGATTGCATCTAGGGCCTTTGTACTGAGCTATATTGTTGTTGTGGGTTGCTCAGAATATGAACCAGATCAGCCAGATTGGAACTTGGAAAGCCATTTAATACTGAGCTCAGGGCCCCCATCAGCTCTCACACAGGAAAGGACGGAAAGGCAGCTAGCCCACGAAGCAGGAGGGCTTTTAAAACATGAAACCACATTCGGGTTTGGTAAACAAATTCATTGTCTGACACAAAACAGTGCTTTCAGGGTCATTGTGACCACTATCCAAACTAAATTTCCTGGGGCTTTGTTTTAGTTTCTGGTTATCTTGCACCTGAGTATCTGCAAGCAACCTTACGTAGCCTGAGGTTACAAGAAGTTAAATCCCTTTTAGTTTCCTTTTGAAGTCATCTCTGTTATCTAACTTTGTTAACAGGAATTGGTGAGGTAGGAATTTTATCTAGCAAACAGCAAGAAGCAGCCACTATTTACTAAACAATTTAGAATAGTGGTGAGTATACATTTTTACACAACAGAAAACACAAGATTTACATTTATAGTCTAAAATGTGAGTTGACCCATTACAATTGTCAGCTCACCCCTCCCCACCACATCCCCTCCCTTTGAGACAAGGTCTCACTGATTTGTTAAATTGCCCAGGCTGGGCTCAAACTTATAATCTTCCTGCTTCAGCCTCCCAGTTCTGGCATTACAAAGCAGACAGTTTTTCTGTACCTTATTCAGTAAATAAACTTGGCTCAGTATCACAAGCCTGTATACCCAGCTCCTCAATTGACAGAAGTTCCCTTGAGCCTAGGCAACATAATGAGGTGCCATCTCAAAAAAAAAAAAAATTTAACTGGTTAATATGAGAACAATAATAATAATAAGTCAGGCATAGTGACATACACTTGTGATCACAGGTACTTGACAGGCTGAAGCTTAATAGAGAATCACTTAAGCCTAGGAATTTGACATCAGCCTGGGAAAAATAAGCAATTCTGGGGGATTGAGGTAAATGGGAAGAGGGAAGGAGGAAGAAAAGGATGGAAAAGTGTGAATTGGAGAGTGAGGGTCTAACTCAGTGGTAGATCATGTGCTTAGATACATAAGGCTCTGGGTTCAATCCTTAACCCCTGCCCCCAAAAATAACTATGAAATATGTTCTTTAGCAGAGGCAATGGCTTTCACTAACAACATCTGCACTATTCTCCTATCTGGGCAGGTGAAAAACTAACTACAACCATTCTTAAAAACTGGGAGTAGCACTTTTTCTATGTTGTCTTTCTAGTTGAACATACACACTGGCTACTGATTTTGCATATATTTAACGGTACCTCCATCTCTTTCTTCCCTACCTAGAAATGGCTGGAGCTTTTGTAGCAGTGTTTTTACTAGCGATGTTCTATGAAGGACTCAAGATAGCCCGAGAAGGTCTGCTGCGTAAGTCACAAGTCAGCATTCGCTACAATTCCATGCCTGTCCCAGGACCAAATGGAACCATCCTCATGGAGACACACAAAACTGTTGGGTAAGAAGATTCAACATGAGGGCTGGGGAGATAGCTCAGTGGATTAAGTTCTTGCCTGGTAAGCGCAAGGTCCCGAGTTTGACCCCTGGTACCACCAATAAAAACAAAAAGAAGATTCAATATGTAATCTTCATGGAAATTCTGGAGAGCTAGCTTAGTTAAGCAGTAAGGCAAATAATAGTAGTCCCTCACTCAGTCACCTGAGTGAGGTAGAGAGGCTCCTGGATCCTTGCAAGTTCAAGGCCAGCTTGGGCTACATAGTGAATTCAAGGCCAGGTTGAACTACACAATGAGAATCCATCTCAAAAACAGGAATTTCCATTTAAGGTATAAAAGCATGGCAGAATACAAATTCTTTTCTATACAAAGTTTTACTGAGTTCTGTAGATATTCTAACAAAGTATGTGAATGGCTACTGCAGTCCCTCACTGTCAGGGTTTGACTTTCATGGACTCACTGTTTTGCAGGTTTTTTCCTATTGATTGGCAAATGCTTTTTTTGAGGTTCGGGATTTAATATAAATGTAGGTCTTAAAGCTAGATTGGACTTTATAAAATCCTGTAGACCAATATCTTGCTTTCAAGTGAACAGTATTATTTATTTTCACTGGACTCACAAACTTTACAGCCCCAACAAGTTGAGACTTCTCTAAAATGACAGAGAATGAGTATTAAAATCTCCTGATCAGGGCCCGGGAGATAGCTCAGTGGAATAAGCACTTCCCTGGCAAGCGCAAGGGTCTGAGTTCAATCCCTGGTTCCACCAAAAAATAAAATAACAAATGCCAGTACAACAAAAAGAACCTTACTCTGTTTAAAAAAAAAAAAAAAAAAAGTCTTTTTGGGGCTGGGGAGATGGCTCGGTGGTCTGGGGCACCTACTTGGAACAAGCTTGGCGGAGCACAGGTACCACGATTCGATCCCCCAGTGCCGCGTGCCGGCCAGCCCCGCCCCCTGGTGGGCTGGGCTGGCCACACACACACTCAATAAATAAATGTAATAAATAAAAATAAATAAATAATAAAAAAAAAAATCTCCTGATCTCCAATTCAATAATTTCTACTGTATCACTCAACTCACAGTTCCATTTATTTGTAGATTGTACACTTCACAAAGGTAGATGTCTCAAAAATATTTGAACAACTGTTACATATGAGGCGGCTTAGGGCTTTCCTTTTAGGATCCAAAGTGGAGATAAGATTACCTCTCCTTTCACCCTATTCTCTACAAGTGTACCTTCTGCCAACAGCACATAACCATATCTGTCCAGGGACGGCCCTAGGGTATTTCACTTCAGGGACAATATAAACATATACACATTACCCATGAGTCACCAAGTGGCTGTCAGGCAGTCCAGTTGAGGCTGACCATATAACCTTCTCCCTTTTTCTTTTGGCCTGCCATGCTCCTGTGAGTCTGATTGTTGTGTCCCTATTTATTCCCCAGGCAGCAGATGCTGAGTTTTCCTCACCTTCTACAGACTGTGCTGCATATCATCCAGGTGGTCATCAGCTACTTTCTCATGCTTATCTTCATGACCTACAATGGGTACCTCTGCATTGCAGTAGCAGCAGGGGCCGGAACAGGATACTTTCTCTTCAGTTGGAAGAAGGCAGTGGTAGTGGACATCACAGAGCATTGCCATTAACGTCAGAGTCCGTGGTGTGGCCTTATTGATTGCAGTGGGAAGCAGCTCAAGACGAAGACACAATTCCTGCTCCAATCATCCCTTCTTGTTCCTGTCTCTTTACACACACACATACACATACACCTGCTGAATAGAAGTTAGTTTACAGTTTCTTCTCCAGGGAATATTGTCTTTTCTAATAAGCTGAGACTTCCATTCCCCTTGCAGGAAGCTACCCGAGATGTCTTCTCCATCATCCTAGATTCTTGTCTAATCCAGATAGCTTTCTAGTCAACGATTTGATTGTCTGCTTCCTTTTTTTTAATCTGGGGTTTTTGTTTATAACATGATATATGAATTTGGTGGTTTTTTTTCTGGGTCAGTGATGGAAAGAGATTATCTTCAGCTAGTACTAAATGGCAGCTGAAAGATATTCTAGCCCAACTAACCCCCAGACTCAAACTTCACATTAAAAATTAAGCTCTTGTCTTTGGACTCCAAAAAAGGGGAAATACATTGTGCCTTTCTCTAGGTGTGATGTGTTGCACCAAAATCTTGGTAACATGCGAAAGAGTGATTTTGAGAGTAAATGTAGGCCCAGAACTTGTAGAGTATGTGTTCTTGAGTTGCTGACTCATTAGCTTGTATTCCACATAACGTTTTGATTAGAACGAGCATGTCAATCAAAAAAGACAATCAATTTGAGAAAACAGAATAGACATTTTAAAATAAAACCATTGACATTTTACGTTGACTTGATACCTTTGTTTATCCCAGCTTCACAAAGCAAGAGAGTTTGAATTTTTCCTCATTTTTATTTACATGTGTCTGCCTCAAAACCAGTGATTTTCAGACTTGTGCTTGCATCAGAATCATCTAGTTTGTTAAAGCACTCGTAATGGGGCCTTAACCCAGAGCCCTAAATCTGGCATTTCTAAGTTCCCGGGTGATGCTCTGGTGATGAACTAGAATAACACATTTTCAGAACGTCTGCTTACTGAAGAAGTACACCTCGGGTGGTGGGCTACCTGGTATTGGGCATGAGAATTTGAATTGCTGGTTGGTAGGTGGTATGTCTGGGCATGCCTCACCTAGGAAATGTTGTTGGTCATACTTGATCATTCCACAAACATTTACTCAGCTCCAACTCTGTGTATGCATACTCACACATATGAAGGACTATAAAACTATAAAGTACTTCTATCAACACATGTGAAGCATTAGTCCTCTTTTTTTTAAAAAAAAAAAAAAAGATCTGTGATTCCTTGGAAACAGTGTGAAGGCTGAGAGAGACCTTTGCTTTGCAGTAAAAATGAGCCAGTCATGGGGCCAGAAGGGCGAAAGTCCACCTTTCTCTTTAGAAAAACAGAGGAGTGTGGTCTGCTGCTGCCCAAATTTTCCTCAGCCTCTTGTCCATAATAGGTACATCCTTGTACACGGCATGACAGCCTTTATTATTACACTTGGGGGCTTTATTAGATCACACGTGGCCAAAACCTCTTTTCTCAATGAAGAATCACATTGAATTTTTATTCTGTTCAGTTGTTGGTCAATGCTGTAACCTTATTTCCAGACTACCTCTTTAAAGTGATTCTTCTTGTGCTTGTCTGTTCATTCCTGCCCTCCTTGGTGCTAGATCCAACTGTGCCTCAGGGCAGAGGAGATAAAAACAGTAATCCTGTTGTCCTGTGCTGTGGTTTTAAAATTTGTACTTTCTCTGTGGGTACCAATTAAATATTGAAGAAAAAATGTGTACTTCTGCATCTGTGAACCAAGAGTTACAAGCCTACCAGAGATTAAAATGTAAGAATCAACATTTAGACCTTTGTACTTTTTTTCACATTTCATTCCCTTGTAGTACTGATAATTAACACAAGCAAAGTGAGTGACAGGTACTTTACAGCCCAACATTAAGATAAATAACCTGTTGTATAAACAGCTTCTATTCCTTAAAAGCCAAGGAATAATAATACTATGAAGTATACATAAGAATTAATGCTTAGTGGTGACTCTGATGCTCTCTAGAAAGGCAGGCTTGAGCTGCTGTAGAATGCCTTCCAGGAACAGGACATTATCAGTGGGCTGAGAAACTCAAGGCCAGTTAAGATAAAATGCTATGACTATGAAACAGAGAAAAACCTCAGTTTGGGACAAGTCTTCAAGTGTTTGGGTAGAGATAATCTGAAAAACATGAGTTTAAGAGATCCTTGACAAGACTGCCAAAGGATGAAGCTAGTAAAGGAGAAAAAAGTTAAAGCTCAAGTTCATCTTTCTTGAGCTCACAGATTTTAATGACACAGTGATCTCATTGACTTTTCTGTATCTCTGTTCACTTAGAATTTAATGCCTGACCTCTGGCTTTTTTGGATCTAAACTTTTTTTTCCGTTTTTTTCCTTTTCACATGTTAGAAGACTCTGTCTCCATAGATATCTCCTTGGCATCTTATTTTGCTGACCTCTGTACCTTTCAGTTTATCCAGTGGGCATTGCTATGCTGTGGCTATAAGTACCAATCAGAAATTGGTATTTATAAACCGGGTAGAGACCTTAACAATGTGTCTGGAAGCAACTGTCCCACTTGAATTTCTACAAAGCTTGGTAAAAGGCTACCTAGTACCCACACCAGCATTATAAAATCTGGGGTGCTGTCTCTATGATGAAAGAACACTCAGCACCCCCACTGGCCACAGATGGAATCCTGTGTCCACTACAGCATTAAAAATTAAAGTTTCTTCAGTACTTCTATGGTAGAATTTTCAAAAATACCTTTTCAGGCTGTTAGTACTAGGATTGGGTTCCAGTCACAAGGGGATCCTCATAAGAAGCTGGGCGGTGATGCAGGGGGTACATACGCATGTTCTTTAAACTTGATCCTGCCCTTTCCAGCTGCTTCTTCAAATGATACATCTAAAGTCTGCATTCAAAATAATGCCTTAATCACTGGGTCTACAGTTTATGTTGACTGTTTTAGATTGTAAGCTCCTGAGAGCAGTATTGCTGTAGTGAGAATGTTTTAACAGTGTCATGTGCAAAGGAACAAAATAAATATTTTGATTTTGTGATTCTAGTATGTCTTTCCATCCAAGGTGCTATGAGATGCTGGTCTCTTCAGTCAGCATAAAGGCTAACCATTAGCATCAGTTTTTAAGATGTCAGGGTCTGTTAAGTGGCATGCTCCCACTGTCATCTCCCTGTACTCTTAAGTGATAGCCTAGCACATGCCAGAAGATCTACATGACCTTTTGCATAGAAGGCAGGATCGTCATGAAGCTGCATGTATATCCATATCCCAGGGATTCCTGAATTCAAAAGCTTACCATCATAATCCCTCTCCTGTTTATACCATCAGGAAGGACGCTCTGAACTGGGCTTGAAGGAGTTAACTGTAAAACTTGCAATGAGCTGCCTCTCCCTGGCACTGTGGTCCGCTCCCTGGCACTGTGGTAATGCCAGAATATTTGTGTCGTTTGCTGTGCTGCTGGCCCCCCATGGGCACCCTGCCATTCCTAAGTGCCTCCTTAGTGAAACATGAAGAGCAAGAACTTTGGAGTCAGTAGGCATGACTCTGAACTCTACCACTTACTAACAATGTGACTATAGGAAAAGTATTCTAACCTTCAGTCTTAGTTTTATTTGTAAGGCTTGTTTGAATTAGCAATTTGGATAAAGTACCCCACACAAAACAGGCATCCAAGCCATATGTTTTTATTATTTGATTATATTCTTCGTCTAGCACTTAGGAAAATGAAAGATAAATGCTTTTAGATAAGGTTAATAGCTCTACAAGCTTCTAACCAACTTACTGAGTTTGGGTAATCCAGAAATGAACAGATTCTAAGAAATAAAGTTGGATAAGATTGCAGTTGTACCAAGAGATTAACAGCTACAGGGGCTGGTGAGATGGCTCAGTGGTCTAAAGCACCTACTTAAAACAAGCTTAACAAAGCACAGGGTCCCCAGCACCACATGCCAGCCCGCCCCGCCTCCTGGTGGGCTGAGCTGGCCACACACACACAAGTAAATAAATAAAATTAAAAAAAAAAAAAAACAGCTACAATAAGACCTCAACTACTGATCTGGCAGTTGTCTCATTCTGTTAATAAAATGGCACGAAAATTCCTTGACACCTAACACTACTGTCCCTGCCGTCTCCACTTCCTTAGATTCAGCAGAGGAAGACCAAGAAAGCAGTGCAGCAATGAAGTTTACAATGGGCTGGGGAGATCACTCAGTAGAATAAGTGCTTGCCTGGCAAGCACAAGGTCCTGAGTTCAATCCCTGGTACTGCAAAAAGTAAAGTTTACAAGCAGTGGTTCAGAAAGCAGGTTGTGTTCAGATCTCAGCTCTATTACTTAATTGCTGAGCTTAGTTATTGTAAAATCAGAATCAAGTATCCTCACAGGAGTTAAATACATAAGGCATGCAGTAGTATCTTAAACAGTAGTGTTATTAGTAAGGCCAGAGAAGATGCTCAGGAGACATTGTTTTCGTGCTTCTGTGCCAATTTATGCTAGGGATTCATAGCAACAAAGCTGAGGCAGTCTTGTTCCTCCCTTCAATTTTTTATTTGCACTTCCGTAAGGCTTCAATCTAATATAACTTGGTTTTCCTATCTAAAGACAGTCATGAGAGGATTTTGTTGTTTTTGAGGTGTATGTGTGTGTGTGTTTGTGTGCAGTCTCACTCTGTAGCTCAGACTCGTAATGATCCTATTTTCTAGGGCCAGGTGTGCACCACCACACCCAGACTCCATCACCAGCTCAGCACACCTGGGTGTAGGGCGAGTGCGGCATGCGGTGCCAGGGATCAAACCCTGGCCCTCACGTTTACCTAAGCAAGCACTTAGTCCACTGAGCTATACCACTGGCGCTTGCTTTTAAGACAGATAAACTCAACAGGTTGAAAAAAAAATCAACAGGCTGGAGATAAAATTGAATGAATAAAGATTTTATAAAGAATATCTAAAGTACTATTATATATCTCTTTCTGAATCTCCCATATTTTTACTTAGATTTAAATGTCCTAAAAAGGGTAGATAAAATCCAATTATGGAGTCTCTAGAACTGACGATTCCATGGGTGTTTACTATCACAGATCAGTTTCTTGTTCCTGAATTTAAGAGATGATTCAAGATTATCCTAGGTTGTGCTACAATGTGTTCCTGTTGGAAAAATCATTAGACAAGTGAAAAATTGAAACAGCAACACTGTCAGGAGAGTTCCTCAGTTCTGCCTAATATTCCATCTCCCAATATTATAATCACAGTAGTTACAAAGCCATTCAGGAACACAGATCAGGCCCTTACAACTTGATCAGATTTATACAAAATCAATAGATCTAACAGCCACAAGGCCAGAGATCTTTGCAGACTGGGCATGGAAGCCACTCAAAACCTTGAATAAATGGGGTTAAATGAAGTTGGCAAGAACCAACCAGAACGTTCTGTACTTAGAATCTTTTAGTAAAGACATGAGGAACAATATTAACTTTTATAGAAGTTACCTTTCAGCATAAGCACTGGCCAGGCAAGCGCAAGGTCCTGAGTTCAACCCCCAAAAGGTTATCTTTCAAAGCCCAGGACTTAGCAGTGCTACTTTGCTTCATTAACGATGTCTCATATTTTCCAAAAATATATTTATTTTTAAAAACAAAAATCAGATGTTTTACACAGTAAAGTTTTCCAGAGACCAGAGTTCAGATTCCAGCTTAGTGTGAAAAGGTGAATACCAATAATTTCATGCAGAATTTATCTTTCTCTGCAGGAGGTAAAATAATCTGCTTCACTGTATGTACTCAATTCTCTAAATCTAGTTTGTATTTTTGCCATCATTTTATTCCATTCCAGGGCTCTGTCATGCAATGGAATCCATCTTTAAAATTCAAAATTTCCAAATTGAGATGAGCGATTGTTTGGTTTGGGTTGGGGTTTATAACCAATCCGATCATTAATCATTTGTTCCCGGCTCTTAGGGTCACTGCCAAGCCCAATGGCTCCTTCTCCATCATTGCCTCCTACAACATCCACATCTTCTTTCTGTTTCTTGCGGGTCTGAAAGTATTAAAATTTTAGGATTTAAGGCAACATTCTTTGAATTAGCAAATGTTTATCTGACATCTACTATGTACTGGGTATGTCATTAAAAAAATATTCAGGACCTAAAGAACAACAAACTGAGTACCCCAGGTTTTAGATACTTAAGGTTATAAAAGGGATACAGGCATGCAGTGATAAACGATAACCTGTATGCTCCAAGATACTATAGTCCAGTTGAGAAGCAAGCAAATAGACTATTTAGCACTGGATGATTAGATAGGACAGGGAGAAGCCCACATTGTCAGACACACGTTTATGTGTATGTTTTCAAAAGTTAAAAATCTTTAATTTTTATTCCTGGTACTACAACTCTACTCTACAGGGCAATATACCTGATACAACAACAAAAAGCTACAGTAGACCAAGGGTCTTAGTATATATCTAACTGATGCTACACGGAACTTGTTGCAAACTGGCTATGACATTGCCAGCCAAGAAGGGTTTTGTATTTAATCTACAGTAACATTTCTAACTACAGGTCATTATCCATTCTCTGGAAGATTTTTACATTTCCTATAATGCATCTTGGCCAACCGCCTCAAAGTAATCTCTACCTTTCCTAACAACTCTTCCCTCTCCTAAGAAATGCAGCCCTTTCCCACTATATTCAGAACGTTCTACTACAGTATCTACCACCACAAGGACTGCCTCAACTTTCTCCATTAAAACTGTCCCCCTCATATGTCCACAATTTGACTGCTATGTTCCATTACAATTTCCAAAATCATTAGTTTTCAAAGATAGCATAGCTACCACTGCCAAAACTTCAGCTATAACTGTCATAGCCTCTATTATAGCCACCATATCCACTACAATACCCTAGTTTCCACAGCCTAGCCCACTACAATAGGCTCTTGTACTGCTTGAACCAGAACCACCTAAACCTGTTACAACCACCACTGCCTCCCCTTCCACCAGTTTCCACCATGGCCAAAATTACTTCCACCACCTCCAAAGTTTCCCCTGCCCCAACTTCTCTGTGACCCTGTGGGCTATATCTCTTGCTTTAAAAGGGTCTTTTGCACTTTGCAGATACGCTAATTAACAATGTAGTATTTCTGAACAAGAACTTTACTAACTGTATCATTATAAAGTTATAAGCAAATCCTTGTCCACTCCCAATTTTTTTTAGATAGGATGTGGCCCAGGTTGGCCTTGAAATCATGCAGTCTCTAATGCACAATTCTCCTGCCTCAGCCTCGTGAGTGCTAGGATTATGGGTATGTGCCACAACTCCCACTTCCACTTTAGTCTTCATAGACATACTTTTTTTTAAATCATTCATTTATTTATTTGTTTGTTTGGTACAGGGTCTTATTATGCAGTTCAGACTCCTAGTGATTCTCCCATCTTAGCCTCCCCAACGCTGGCATTACAGGCAGGCACCACCATACCTTGTGCTCCAAACCTGGTTTCAGTGGCAGCCGGAACATGGTGCTAGGGATTCAACCCAGTTTCCTGCACCTGCCAGGAAGGCGCTTAGACCGCTGAGCTGTCTCCCCAGCCCCCTGACATACTTTTCAAAGTAGCCTCTCAAATTATTTTCTGTATTGTCTCTAAGAATGCCAACAAAAATTGTCTTCACTGTTAGATGTGTGCCTGGCTTACAGTGTGCTCTCTGGTTCTGCTCCATGCTCAGCAAGTTTATGTACCCCAGCTCTCACATCAACACAACCCGTGAGTGCCACCTCTCCAGATGTTCTTATACTATCCTCTGTTGGTATGCTTTGTGTCTAGTTGTTCCTCCAAGGCCTTATGCAGCTATTGGGGTGGCTTCTAGGGTTTGTGATTAATTCATGACCCAGTGCTGAGATTATGGGTATGAGGGCAACAGCAGATCTGAGGTGGGGAATCTGCGTACAAATAAGGTAGGGAGAGGCTTGCTAGCTGCTGCAGCCGCTGCTCCTCCCTTTGCTCTCTACTGTTTTTCCACCACTATGAACAGCTGCTCACTGCCATGTGCAGCTCTGCCTTGGAGCCAGCAGAGTATACACTGACACCTCCACTGTGAGCTAAAGAAATAAACCTTTCCTTTCCTAATTTTGGGTGTCACATATTTTGTCCCAGCAACAAGAGAAAAGTAATTGAAACATCTGTACTTCAAAAGTTCACATAAGCAAATAAATTTTCTGAACTGCTCTGGTTCCTTGCAATCACGGCCTTTTGTGGCAGTGGCTGAAATCAGGCTAGGGGGGACCTGGCAGTGCTTTATTACCATTTGGAGATCATATGTGATGCTGAGGTACATCTATTTTATATTAGAGGAGGCCAGGCTTCATTTTATTTTCACACAACATTTTGGTTCTTAAATCCTAAGGGGCTACAGAAGTCACAAAGTACATTTCAGTTTGTTTTCAAAAGGAGAAACTAACAGTGATCCCACAGTAACTACTACCTGACTGTAGATATGACATTGGATGATAGCAACTTGCTCTAAAAGGGTGAATAAAAGTTTGATCTGGAGCTAGTGAGATGGCTCAGTGGTCTAAAGCACCTACTTAGAACAAGCTTAGCAAAGCACAGGGCCCGCGGTTCAATCCCCCAGCACCACATGCCAGCCAGCCCTGCCCCCTAGTGGGCTGATCTGGCCACACACACAAATAAATAAATAAAATTAAAAAAAAAAAGTCATAATGTCCAACAGAGCATTAAGCATATTTAAAAAAAAAAAAAGTTTGATCTGGAGTTCCTTCTTAGGACTGATTAAGCACTACAGTGAGTCAGAGCTGGGTGCGGAGGTGCACAACTGCCAGTCCAGCACTCTGGGAGGCCGAAGCAGGCGGAAAGCAAGTTCAGGAGGCCTATGGGGAAAGCTTAGTGAAACTTTTGTTTTAAAAAATTAAATAAATAAATAAATAAATAAATAAACAGTCTAGGGACATAGCTCAGGGCAAAGGTCCTGGGTTCAATCCCCAATATCTTAAAATTAAAGAAAAAAAAAAAAAGTAAAACCAAGTATTGGGCCAGGGTTATAGCTCAGTGACATGAGCTCTTGCCTGGAAAGTGTAAGGTCCTGAATTTAATCCCCCATACTGTGAAAAATAAATAAATTTTTGAAATTCTGAAAAGCTAAGTATTATAGTGAAGCAAAGTACAGATTGAGTAGACCTTACCCAAAATGCTTGGAACCAAAAGTGTTTCAGATTTCAGAGTTCTTCAGATTTTGCAATATTTTAATACACTATGGAGTTAACATACCCCTAATCTAAATACCTGAAATCCTCCAAAATGCAAAACTTTCTGAAGTTATCTTATGCAACAATCATAACAGCCCACCTGATTCTCTTTAGTTTATCTATACAACCAGTGAGTGACATTAGAAACTTGTACACAAACACCTTTATGAAAACAGGTTCTAGGGGCTGGTGGGATGGCTCGGTGGTCTGAAGTACCTACTTAGAGCAGGCTTGGCGGGGCACAGGGACCACGGTTCAATCCCCCGGCACCACATGCGAGCCAGCCCCGCCCCCTGGTGGGCTGAGCTGGCCACACACACACACACACACACACACACAAATAAATAAATAAAATTTAAAAGAAAACAGCTTCTAGCCAGATGTGATGCAACACATCTGTAACACCAGCATTCTAGGAGGCTGACATGGGGAATCACAGGTTCAAGCCCAGCCTGGGCAACTTAGTGATTTAAAGAGACAACCCTACCTCTAACTCAATAAATACATGCAGCTTGACAGCGTAGCTTAGTACAAAGACTCTATGTCCTAGTGCCACAAAAGAGAAAGATAAACATATAAAAAGACAAAGGAAAAACAAGTTCTGAAAATCAGAAGACTCTCATTCTGAGAATATCTAACTGAAATCATTTAAAAGTGATCCCACTATGAACAACTACTGGCTACTGCAAAATCTAGTCAGACTAAATATAATAAAACTAACTTTAGCCTAAGATATGAAGTACTAGTTTTCTATATATATATATATTTTTTTTAATGTATTTATTTATTTATTTGGTACAAGGTCTCGCTACACATGGCATGCCATACCAGGGATTGAGTCCTGAGGTCCTTGCACTTGTGAGGCAGGCACTTAGACCACTGAGCTATCTCCCTAGCCCTAAAATACTAGTTTTCTACTGATTCCATTTTAGTTTTGGGAAAGATAATCCTTCCTTCCAAAATTGCTTTAAAATAAGTCAACCCATTACATAACTGCCTTTTTTCTTTCTCAAACAAAAATGTTTATGAAAGAAAAGGCAATACAATCAACCATAGGCCAAGCATGGTGGCACACAACTGTAATCCCAGAGTTGATTTTGGTGACAGAAGGATGTGCATATCCAGAAAGTGACAAAGAAGGCTGTTTTTTCATGGAGCCTTCAATCAGGTATTTCCTCCAGTTTTAACATGTGCCAGCCTCAGAATGATGTCCTGCATGCCTTTCTCAATTTTATCACTTAATGAGCTGCCTCCACTATAGGACATAATCTCCTCTTTCATGAGGGCATCGATTTCCTTGAAGATGTCCTGTATTTTGATCCAGTATGGGTGGTTTGCCTTCTGCTCCAACTCTTTGAGAAGATATCTGTCTCCTCGCCACCCTCTTCCTAGCTTGCTGAATGTCTCCTCTTTCTGTAAGTACAGAGTCCATTTCAAAAATATTGCTGGTTTGTTAGAATCCTCTCCAGTTTCTTGTAATTTTTATCACATAACAGACCATGAAAGTTGATTACTTGCTGCGCTATACTTTTTAATTTCCTTTTGAATTTTCTAAAGACTAGTAATGGAAGGATGCTGGTTTCCCATATCCATATTTGTGTTGTGTTCAGCTGTACAAGCACTGTGGCTCCCATGCCATCTAGGTCTGCCGCCTCCACCGTAGTCACTGCAATAATTTAGCAGAGAGACCGACTCAGTAGCAAGCCGACTCTGCACTGTTCAGTCTACTGGTATTTTATAAGACTCATTACATCTGAAGATTACCCCTACCTAAAATACAAGCTTAGTAATGCATTATCAATGTAAGTTCTTAAAATGTGACTGTTGCGATAAAAGCAGGGGTGGGAAAGAGCTTATCAGTCTTAATACAAAGCAAGTTGTGTTTGTGGATACATACAAGATATAATGTCCCCTGCTATACGATATAAACTTGTATTAGGATAGCAAATGAAAATAGATTTGTGGGCCAACCAAATAGCTCAGCAGATTAAAGGGCCTGCAAGCAGGTGCAGGGGCCAAGGGTTAATCCCCGGGGCCTGCCATGTCAGCCCCAGCCCCAGGGCCCGATGAGATAGCAATTAAGACTGGGCATGATGGCGCACATCTATAATCCCAGCTCTTGGGAGGCTGTAAACAAGCAGATCACTATGAGTCCAATCTAGTAGTGAGACCCTAAACACCCTGTAGACCCTTCCCTAAAATACGACAAAAAGAGAAAATAGACTTGTATTACACCTTCCTTCAGGAAGAAATGGCAAAGATGGATATACTAATCCTTTTTGTTTTCTGAGACAGAGACTCACTGTGTAGGTCAGGCTCACCTTGAATTCACTACATAGCCCATGTTGGGCTCGAATTTGAAGCAATTATCCTGCCTGGATTACAGGCATGTGCACCACTATGTTCAGCAGAGATACTAATTCTTGCTTCAAGGACCTCATGGCCCAGTGAAGAAAAAGAGAAAACATACATCTGGAACAAAGAGTGACAGTACCTATGAGAGGTATCACCACAGGGGCAAGAGGCTAGGTCTGGACCGAGCAGAGTCAACAGAAGGTAAACAGAGCGCTGTGTGCACAGGAACTGCGATTAAACTTGAAGATAACTTGGCAATAAGAGATAGAGATGAGCACCCTTAGGTCACAAAGAGCCTTACGTGGCATGCTAAAAAAATTTGGACTTGTTTGTTTGTTTGGTACCAGGAATCAAACTCAGGACCTTGTACTTTCCAGGCAGGCATTTGTGCCACTGAGCTATATCCCTGGCCCTGAAATTTGGACTTTTTCCCAAAAGCCTCCACGAATCTATGTCCTAGAAACAAACCCCTAATACTACGTAGCAAGTATTAGATATAACAAGGCCACATTTAAAAGTATATATCAGAGGGCCTGAGTTTAATCCCCGGTTCCACAAAAAAAAAAAAAAAAAAAAAAAGTACATATTGGGCCGGGGACACAGCTCTGTGGAATAAGTGCTTGCCTGGCAAGTGCAAGGTCCTGAGTTCAATCCCTAGTATCACCAAAAAAAAAAAAAAAAAAAAAAAAAAGGACATACTGACAACCCACTATAATGGTATATATTTGTAATCTCAGTGGTTGGCAGGCTGAGGCAGCAGGATTGCAGCAATTCTGACACTAGCCTGGGCTACACAATTAGCTCAACCCCAGCCTATACTACACAGTGAAACCTCCCCCAAAAAACCAATAAATGGGCTGGTGAGATGGCTCAGTGGTCTGGAGCACCTACTTAGAACAAGCTTAGCAAAGCACAGGGACCACGGGGTTCAATCCCCCAGCACCACATGCCACCCAGCCCCGCCCCCTGGTGGGCTGAGCTGGCCACACACACATACACACATAAATAAATAAATAAAATTTTAAAAAAACAACAATAAATGTAAATTCTAAAAAACGCTATGAAGCTGTAGTCCCAGCACTTGCGAGATGGGGCAGGAGGACTGCTGTGAGTTTGAGGCTAGCCTGGGCTACATAGCAAGACCCTGTCTCAAAAAAAAAAATTGAGGGCTGGTGAGATGGCTCAGTGATCTAAAGCACCTACTTAGAACAAGCTTAGCAAAGCACAGGGACCGCGGTTCAATCCCCCAGCACCACATGCCAACCAGCCCCGCCCCCTGGTGGGCTGAGCTTGCCACACACACACACACATAAATAAATAAAATTTAAAAAAAAAAAATGAGTCAGAAGGATCACTCTGAGTTCAAGGTCAGCCTGAACTGTATAGTCAGGCCATCTCAAAACACTACAAATTCTGAACCGGTTCATTCAGGACCCCTCCTGTCTCTCAGGAGCTATTCGTATTTCCCATTCCCCTTCTCCAGTAAATTTTCCTACTAAAACAAAATAAAAATAAAAAATAAAAATGCTAGGGCCAGCCAAATAGCTCAGTGGATGAAAGCACCTGCAAGCAGGGGCAGGGGCCAGGGCTAGGATCCCGGGGGCTGCTGCAACAGCAATTGAGACTGGGCGTGGCGGCGCACGCCTACAATCCCAGCTCTTGGGAGGCTGTAAACAGGCACTCCAATCTAGTAGTGAGACCCTGAACACCCTGTAGACCCTTCGCTAAAATACAATAAAATAAAAAACTAAAAAGTGCTATCGAAAAACATGGTACTGGGCTGGTGAGATAGCTCAGTGGACTAAGCACCTGCTTTGGTAAATGCAAAGACCCAGGGTTTGATCCTAAGTCCCACAAACCACTGCCAGTGTCCACCCCACTCCCAGGCACACAGAGGCAAACTGAGAACGGATGTGGTAGGGCATGTGGTGCACGCGTGTAATCCCAGCACTGAGGCTAAAAAGCTGGAAGATCACTGAGTCTGAGCTGTCTAGTGAGACTCTGTACCAAATATGTAAATGAAAAAAATTTAAAAATTAATTAATATAAATATAAAAATAAAAAACATGGTGCTCTGTGAGAATTTAATGAGAGCAAGGCAGCTTAGACAGGAAGGTCACATCCAACTAGATGAGTTCAAAAGAGCCTCTCAGCCCAGGGAAGTGACATCAAAACTAAGAATGGAAGAAAGAAAATACACTCAAGGCAGAAGAAATTGGTACATACAGATTTGTAGCCTATAGAACTATGAAAAGAGTAAGTGATGTTGTAAGTCACCACCATGCAGTACCTCGCCATGGCAGTCACAGGAAACTAACACATTAAATCTGAGATACCTGTAAAGCAACAAAATAGATTTTTCCAATAAACTGTTGGTGCAAGAATCTAAGGTTCTAAGGCCCCTATACTATGGGTCCCTAATTCCTAGAACCTATAAACATTGTTTTAAGTATGTCCGAAGGGTTGAAAGTTGTACTTTTACCTCTAGGTCCTTGCGAATATTCTCAAACTCTTCAATGTCATCAAGTTTTAGCTCCAGACGCGTTGGTTTCCGTCGCAGCATACTGAAGTCAACACAAAAGAGTGAGACCCAGTGAACTACGGCTGCTAAAAGTGGCAGAGAGGAAGAAAAGCTGCAGGTGATAAGATGCAGCTACAAATATGAGATCAATTTGTAAGTGTGCACACTAAATTGAATGGCAGTATTTAAAAATTTATTTTGAATCACGGACTAATGAAGTCTTTAGGTACCTGATTATTATATTTTTATTACGCGATATGGAGACCTATAACACTGTAATTTTTTTAAAAACTCTAAAAGAGCTTAAAAAATAGACAATTACCTGTAAGAGATAATTCTAGGCAACAATTTCATGCTATAGTCATATAACTCAAAAAAATATGTTAGTTAAAAAACTAAAGGTAGCCAGATGCAGTGGCCCATACCTATAATCCCAGCTATTCAGGAGGCTGAGGCAGGTTTCCTTGAGCCAGTTCAAGGTCAGCCGGGGCAAAACAGCAAGATACTGCATCAAAAAATAAGAAAGAAGGAAAGAAAGAAAATAATGAATAATGCTATTATGTCTTACTTCTATATATAGTAACAGAGTCAATGGACAAAATCTGCCCTACATGGGACTCATCAGAGATTGTGATCACTCTTGGAGCCAAAATCGGTTTGCTAGGGCTGGGAAGATGGCTCAGTGGAATAAGCACTTCCCTGGCAAGGGCCTGAGTTCAATCCCTGGTTCTGCAAAAAAAAAAAAAATCGGTTTGCTAAATACCATGAAAACTGTGAACTTACCAATTCACAGGATTATCCTCAGGCGCTAACTCAATCCAAAATGGGTAAAACATTCAATAAACAAACTCTTCCTGTGCTCCAACTACCAGTTAAAAGGCTGTCTGAATCTGTAGGGAAACAGATAAGTAAACAGAAAACTGTAACACAGGGTACTAAGAACTCTGATGAAGGTAAATACAGGGGCATTGCATAGGTCCTAGGCCAGTCTGGGCTGCACACGGATGACAGACAAGCCTTCCTGTGGGAAAACTATACCTATTTTACAAAGAAGTTGAAATGAGCTGTTCAATTTTATTAATAATGCCAGTCTCCTATAAAAATTACACATAGAGGTCAATTCGGTGAGGATTAAATAATGATGATGTAAATGAAAATTCTGTTAAAGTATCTACAAATATAGATGATTTTAACACGAATCACTGATATTTAACATTTCAAATTGCTTTGTACTAAAAATCACTATCTTGACGACAAAGTTCCAAAGAGGGTAAGGAAGTATTTAGAAAACAACCGGCAGACGGCCTTTTCGCCAACTGTGAAAAGCTCACCAACTCACCTCTTCAGGGCAGTATAGAAGGGCAAAAAGAGCTAGCTCTTGGAGCGACAGCAGAGGTTTTAACCCCATTACGCTACCGATGTTGAAAGATTAGCTTAACCTCTCCTAAGACCTTACTTTCTGTTTGTGTCTGTATTTTACAGTGTGACTGCAGAGTAAACTCGGTAACATTACAGCTTGACGCTTAAACGCTCAAAAAATAAACTGGGGAGGGCTGCCTGAAGTATAGCGTTGGGAGAAGTCTGTCGTTCAGATCCGCAAACGCAACTATTCTGAGAATCTTCACTCCTACCCAGCCATACTGGGGAGAAAAAAGAAACCACCTTATCTTTATCTGTGACATCCCAGCAACCGGCAGGGCAGACAACAGTGTGCATGCAATTTCCCTGACGCCTTCCTACCCACAATCCGATTCTATATTCAATTTAAAGAAAGCATTAAAGACAACAACAAAGCCAATCCGAAGCGCCTCCTCTACGTTTTTATTTTACTTAGGCGCTCTATTTTACTTAGGCCGTCTCTTGGAGTTTAAGCTCTTACCCCGTTCGGAGGAGCCCCAGGGGGACTTCCGGATCTTAGAGAACAGCCTTCTTCCCATAGTTCCAGGGCAGCACTCTAGGGTCGGGGACAAGGATGAGGGTTCCCATGGCAACATAGCCCCATAGCCCTCCACTCAGGGACGACGGAAAGCCCTCGAAGCCTGGGGACCCTCGGTTTGCGCTCGACCTCAGTCCCCAGCCACGCGAACCGCTTACCTACCTCTTTTCAAGCGTCTCTGCCCCTCCCGGAACCTCGGTTCCCGCTACGAATCTATAGCTTGGTTAAAAAAAAAAAAAAAACTACATTTCCCAGACTGCTCCGCGCTGCTCTTCCCGCAGAACCTCGCCATCTGTAAGCTTTCGAGGAGACTCACTACCCTCGACGAGACTAGAAACTCTACTACAGTACTACGACTCCCATCATACCTCGCGCCTCCCAGGGTGCCGCGTTGGTCCTAGATGCACTTCCGGCTGATGATGCAGTTCCGCTGTTCTGGGCGCGGGGTGGATGGTCTGAAACGTAGAGCGCGGCTTGATCTGGTGTTTCTCGGCTCCGGAGCCCAGAATGGCTTCTTCACGAGCCTCCTCCACGGTACAAAGCTATGGATCTCAGCTCACTCTGGCGGAGAGCGCAGGGAGGGTGGGGCTTCCCCCAAGAATGGGCCGTTAAGGAGCAGACTAGGGAGTGGGGGGCTGGGGTCAAGACTGCGGGACTCTGATGTCCTAGAGAATGGAGCAGTTTTTCTGCTCTCTTAAGTGCTTTCCTGTGACATAGATCTCTGCGCCTAACCCTTTGTGACCCCCGAACGATGAACACTTCTTCACTGGTCCAAAAATGGTGCTCTGAAATGGAGAAAGGTCTTGCCCAGGGGCGTTGTTTTTGAAATTTTAATGAGGCCTCCTAACTGCTAACTTACTGACGCATCTGTGAAAACGTTTGACACAAGCGCAGTAAAGTTATAACTCGTTTCTGCTTACCGCTGGGCTGGTTATTTCAGTCATCCTTGCTGTTCTCAAGCGATGAGCAGTATATCAAGTGTCATAAAATCAGTTACACTTCCAGCGGAATGAACTAAACATGTTCCAAGGCAAACCTTTCATAGACAATAACCGAAGGGGCCGGGGTGATGGCTCAGTAGAATAAGCGCTTCGCTGGCAAGCGCAAGAGCCTGAGTTCAATCTCCGGTTCCGCCAAAAAATAAAAAATAAAAAAATTTTAAAAATAGCAACCGAGACAACTTCACGAGTTTTGTCCACATCTACCTGCCAAATTTTAAGTGAGAGGCTGAAACACCCTTTCCCTAACCCCACAAAACAGTGAAGAACAGCTTTACTCGAATAAAAGGTCTAGTGAATTTGTTAATGTGTATAGTGTGACCTTTAGTTTGTGATGGAGTTAGGGCTCAAGGGCAGAATGATCTTCACCCTTTGTGGAACTCTGGTAAATTGCTAAAATTAAACTCTAGATTAATCCGGGTCTTTGATTTAACAGGCAACCAAAACTAAAGCACCTGATGACCTTGTTGCTCCAGTTGTGAAGAAACCACACATCTACTATGGAAGTTTGGAAGAGAAGGAAAGAGAACGCCTTGCCAAGGGAGAGTCTGGGATTTTGGGAAAAGAAGGACTTAAAGCAGGCATTGAAGCAGGAAATATTAACATAACTTCTGGTAAGATGCAGATTACAAGTCTGTCATTAGCTTTGGTGTTCTCAATTTTCTGTAATAAATGTCTTCCCAAACTTAGGTACTGCCAGCTATCCAGGTTTTTTGGTTTGTTTGTTTTTTTAGCTTATTTAGTCTAGGGTCTTACTACACAGATTGGACTCGTAGTGATCCTCCTGTTTTCAGCCTCCCAATCACTGAAAACTACTGGCTGGCACCAGCACAGCACAGGCAGAGATCAGCCCTGGTCCCTGCGCCTGCCTAAGCAGGCAGGCACTTTAGTCTACTGAGCTATCTGGCCTACCCTACCCAAGATTTTAAATGTCAAAAACTTTAGTTCTTCAACTTGCTGCTATGGATTTATACTTTGCCTACCCCTCTTAGCATCATCCAGAGAGTTCTTATAAACTTTTATATAGTCTGTCTTTTAGTAATTTAATAAAATTTATTCAATATACAGTTGGGTTCAAATTTATTCCATGTGTCTTTTTTTTTTTTTTTTTTTTTTGCATAACCGGGGATTGAACTCAGTCCCTTGTGCTTGCCAGGCAAGCACTTATTCTACTGAGCTATCTCCCCGGCCCCAATTCCATGTGTCTTTTAGAGATGTAATATAGTTCTAGTGTAATGAGTTAATGTAAAACTAAATGTAAAAAGTTACTCTGTTCAACTTTCTGTGACCCTACTTCCTTATAAGACCACAAGGAGGCTTGGTGTACCATTGATAATTCAATAGACTGAGAGTTTCCAGAATAGACCTACAAAATGAATCAAAAGTCGAAGTGTTTTTAACTGTGCAAAATAACTAAGGTGTTGCTAACCATTAAGGTGTTGCTAACACTAAGGTGTTGCACTTGCCAGGCAGGCACTTATGCCCCTGAGCTATCTCCCTGTCCCTCTGGTTTGGTTTCTATGTTGAGAACCCATAACACTAGTATTGGCTTGCAGCTAGAGTAGTTCGTAATACTAATACCCTTTTTTAGTTCTTTACTTATTCTTTCATAAAATGAAATAATCTTAAAAAAAAAAAAATGAAATAATCTTTTTCTTATAAAGGCAACAGTTTTAAAAGAGCAAACATTATAAAGTCTTGCATTAATCCCTGATGTGCTGTGCTGCCCCGCCCTTGGGGCACACTGAGATGTAATTGAGAGCGCCTGTAATCCCAGCACTTTTGGGAGGCTGAAAACGGGAGGATCACTACAAGTATAGTGAGACCCTGCAGATCTTGTACTAAATAAATGAATAAAATAGGTGGCCAGGGAGATAACTCAGTAAAATAAGCACTTGCCTGGCAAGTGCAAGGGCCTGAGTTCAATCCCCAGTTCCACCAAAAATAAAAATAAAATAAAATCTTGCGTTAATTGAGCATATATTTATGTTTTAGTACAGGTACAAAAATTTTTTCTATAGGGGCTAGAGAGATGGCTCAGTGGTCTAAAGCACCTACTTCGAACTAGCTTGGCAAAAGCATCAGGGACCGCGGTTCAATCCCCCAGCACCACATGCCAGCCAACCCCGCCCCCTGGTGGGCTGAGCTGGCCACACACACCTCTCTCTCTCTCTCTCTACCACATGCCAGCCAACCCCGCCCCCTGGTGGGCTGAGCTGGCCACACACACCTCCCTCTCTCTCTCTCTCTCTCTCTCTCTCTCTCTCTCTCTCTCTCTCTCTCAAATAAATAATAAAAAATTAAAAAAAAAACAATAGTGAAAAAAGAGACCATTTTAAAAAAAAAAAAAATTTTTTTCTATAAATGAAACCATAATGTATTTTTTAGTCTACATTTTTCACTATGTACTGTTAAGGATATCTTACCATATAAGTGACAAGAGTTTCAATTTTTGTTTTGTTTTCTTTTTTGGAGCCAGGGTCTGGTGTGTAGCCCAGGCTAGCTTTGAATTCACAGCAGTTCTTCTGCCTCAGCCTCTGGAGTGCTGGGATTAGAGGCATGCACTACCACACCTAGCTTAGAAATTATTTCCTTTCCCCATTTGAATATCTGGTGAATGTGCTGATTTTGCCTTTTCTTTTTTATAGGAGAAGTGTTTGAAATTGAAGAACACATCAGTGAGAGACAGGCAGAAGTGTTGGCTGAGTTTGAGAGAAGGAAGCGAGCTCGACAAATCAACGTTTCCACAGATGATTCAGAAGTCAAGGCATGCCTCAGAGCCCTGGGGGAACCCATCACACTTTTTGGAGAGGGCCCTGCTGAAAGAAGAGAAAGGTGCCCTTCCTAAATATTTCCTCTCATTTATTAATCACTGGGTTCTAGTTCCAAGTCCACTTGATCTTCAAGCTGAAGCTTCAATGTCTGAGATAGTTTTAGCAGAATCCTGGGTCATGTTTATATAGTTTAGCCTTTGGTCACAGTCTTAAGCCTCTTTCTTTTTAGAAACAGGGTCTTGCCAAGTAGTGCAGGCTGGCCTCAAACGAGGTGATATCCTCTTGCCTCAGCCTCCCAAGTGCTAGGATTGCAGGTGTGTGCCGCTACGCCTGGCTATTCTTAGGCCAGTTTTACTCTATTGCTAACTTCTCCTTATGAACTGTGAAGAGGGTGAGTGCCAACATAGTCTCTTCCCACTGTAGTATGAAATTTGAGTAGGATAAACATTGTTGAGCTTCAGAAGCTTTGATATCAGATATGTTCCATTTCAGTGACATAAAACATACTGATAATTTTTTTTTTTTCCCTTTGTGGTACTGGAGATTGAACTCAGGACCTTGTACTTGCCAGCCAAACGCTTATTCTACTGAGCTATCTCCCTGGCCCTAATTTTTTTTTTTTTTTTTTTTTTTTTAAATAAGACTTCTTGTGATTTGAAGGTTCTGAGGTATCAGTGAAGATTTAGTCATATGCAGTTATGAGGCTATCCTCTTGACTATTGTGATGGGACTCCCCTGTCCATCATTGGCCTTCTTGGAAAGCTGGTTTATGTTTACACCCATAAGGTCCTTGCCCCTAATGTATTCTTTTTTTTTTTTTTTTTTTTAGGAACCGGGGATTGAACTCAGGCCCTTGCACTTGCCAGAGAAGCGCTTACTCCACTGAGCCATCTCCCCGGCCCCCCTAATGTATTCTTGAACCCATTGCAAACTGATTAACTCTTATCACCTGGAAGTTGTACTTCATAAAAGTCAGCTTTACTAAAAATAGCCCTAAGGGGGCTGGCAAGATAACTCAGCAGACTAAAGTGCCTGCTTAGGCAAGCTTAAGCAAGTGCAGGAACCTCATCCCTCTCTGGCCTTGCCCCCAGGTTAGACTGAGCTGGTCAGTTCCAGGCATGGTGGCACATGCCTGTGATCCAACACTGGGGAGGCTGAAAATAGGTGAATCACTATGAGCCGGAGTTGTGTAGTCAGACCCTGTAACAACCAAATACATTTTTAAAAAGCCTAAGGGCTGGGGCTGGTGAGATGGCTCAGTGGTCTGAAGCACCTACTTAGAGCAAACAAGCTTAGCAAAGCACAGGGACCACGGTTCAATCCTCCAGCACCACATGCCAGCCAGCCCCGCCCCCTGGTGGGCTGAGCTGGCCACACGCACACATAAATAAATAAATTTAAAAAAAAAAATAAAAAAAAAAGCCTAAGGGCTAAGGAGATAGCTCAGTGGCATGAGCACCTGCCTGGCAAGATCAAGGTCCTGTGTTTGATCCTCCACACCAAAAATAAATTGATAAATTAATAAAGATAGCCCTAGTAGATTGACAGGTACTCCCTTCTCTTCTGCTTTTGCTCTTGCTTCTTGAGCTCATTACGTAGAATTCAGTACTCCCCATGGTTTCAGACATTTCAAGATTCACTGGATCTTGAAACATATCCCAGTACAGATAGGGATGGGGATGGACTACTATGTCTTTAACCTTTTTTTTTTTTAATCTGGTGGAACAGGAGCTTAAACTCAGGTCCTTGTGCTTGCCAGGGAAGCACTTATTCCACTGAGCCATCTCCCCGGCACCTTTAACCATCTTAAACTCAACTGTTTATATTCTGATATTTTTGATTACAGGTTAAGAAACATTCTCTCAGTGGTTGGTACTGATGCCTTAAAAAAGACAAAAAAAGATGATGAGAAATCTAAGAAGTCCAAAGAAGAGGTAAAATATGTCTTTGGCTTCCCAGCATAAGCAAGAAAGAAATGAGGGACTATTCTTATTATCTATTTTCAGTGGTATTCTTGGGGGAGGGGGAGAAGAGGAAGGAGGAACAAGAAGAGGGGGAGAGGAAGGGAGGAGGAAAAAAATGTTTGTGAAGATTCTGCCAGTCAGGAATATTTATTGACAGTAACTTAGATTCTTGTGTGAATATGAGTGGAGCTAACTTGAGTTTTCAGGGAAAAAGTCATAGTACTCTCAGGAAGGATTTTTTTTTTTAATTTTTTCTAGGTGTTTTTTGTTTTTTGGTTTTTTTTTTTGTTGTTGTTGTTGTTTTTTTGGCTGGCTCAGGCTGCCTTAAGGTTGGGTCTGGCAAGGCCTGGGGAGCTAGGGATCGAACTACAGTCCCCTGCACCTGACTGGGTTTGCCCCAGCAGGCGCTTAAAGAACTGAGCTACCCAGGAAGCCCCCAACTCTTGGTATAACTCAAGAAACCATTTTTGAAACACTAAAAACCTAGTAAGACATTATAAAAAGAAATACAATAGAATATCCATATGCCTGACTTCATCTGCCTCCTGAACTAATTTGCCTTTGTAGGAAGTGATGCTATAGGGTACAGTGTGGGAGGCACTGGTGTGCGTCAGACCTAACATTTCTGCTTTTGATTTGCTATCCAGTATCAGCAAACATGGTATCATGAAGGGCCAAACAGCCTGAAGGTGGCTAGACTATGGATTGCTAATTATTCACTGCCCAGGTAAGCTGAGTAGCTAGAAGAAACTTACTCTTTTATGAACTGAGGATTGGCTTTCTTGTGTTGGTGGCTGTGTGAAATTAAGTTATAGTTATGTGCAAAGCCTTGTTGTCCCTTTGCTCTTAGTAGTGATGCTTTTGTTTCACAGGGCAATGAAACGCTTGGAAGAGGCCCGTCTCCATAAAGAGATTCCTGAGACAACTAGAACATCCCAGATGCAAGAACTGCACAAATCCCTCAGAGTAAGATGTTCTCCATGATTGTCCAATATCTTATCTTACTAAATTTTCAGCCAGCCAGATAGCTCAGTGGGCTAAAGCACCTGCTTATGCAGGCACAGGGAGCAGGGTTCAATACCTGGTGTGCCGTGTCAACCCCACCCCATGGGCACGCTGAGAGGCAACTGAGACTGAGTATGGTACATGCACTTATAATCCCAGTGCTTGGGAGGCTGAAAACAGGAGGATCACTACAAGTCTAATCTGTGTAGTGAGACTCTGTAGACCCTGTAACTAAGTACATTAAAAAAAAAAACCCTAAATTTTCTACTTTGGCCCACATTGAGTAAAGGGAAAGGTAACTACAGTTGTTTCTCCCTGCTGGAGCTGTCCAGTGTGAGTGATGCCATATCAGTTAAGGTAGCAGGAACCCATTATACTTTGCATTCAGCACAGGCCAATGGTTCTACTCTTGACCTCTTTTTTTCTTTTATACCACAAATTGAAGTTAGGACCTTATGCTTGCCAGGCAGGTGCTTATGCCCATGAGCTATATCCCTAACCTTACTTCTTTCTTTAAATTTTAATTTTTTTCCTTTTTGAGACAGGGTCTTGCTGTGCAGTTCAGGCTGGCCTTGAGCTCACTTTGTAACCCAGGCTGGTCTCGAACTCACAAAGATCCTCTTGCCTCAGCCTCCTTAGTGCTGGGATTATAAGTGAGCCCCACCATGCCTGGCTGCTTCTTGTAGGTCACACCTGTGTTTTAAATCTCTCCAAGGTTTGCATTTTAGAGGTAACTGCACAGAAACTTGTGATAATAAAGCTAGAAAACAGCTAAATTTACAGATAAGCCGTGATCCCACTCTTTCCTTAATATGAGTGTCTCCGAAAGTGGGAGAGGCTTGGGGTGGGTTAAAACTGAAGGTAGGTTGGTTGCTTGGTGGAAAAGCCAAGGAAGTCTTGAGCTGGTCTGTGAATAATTGCCATTTGTCTTTTTGTTTGTTTTTTTTTTAAGTCTTTGAATAATTTCTGCAGCCAAATTGGAGATGATCGGCCTATCTCTTACTGTCACTTTAGTCCTAATTCCAAAATGCTGGCCACAGCTTGTTGGTAAGTTGCATTTTACAGTAACTTTTTACTAAATAGGGGACAAACTCAGAAAAAAGTACAATCTACCTTAACTATTACTTCTTCCTCTGCCTTTCACGGTCACACCGAACTACAAATGCTAGGGCTCTCCCTGCTGTGTAATAAGACATAGGCTTGAGCCCCAAGATCCTTGGCATGTAGCAGTCTGTCATGTCCTCAACGCTGGCACTTTGGAGATAGCGAGTTTATAGACCAAGTTCTGTGGTCTGGCTCTAAGATACATAATTCCACTAAATTTCAGTGTTCTCTGTAAAATGGAATGAGATAGTATTTCTAAAGCATTTTGACTTGATAGTGCCTAACATGCAGTGAGAACTGAGTGGGTGTTCAGTAATGGCTTTGTGTTTTCTCTTACCACCACATACACTGAGAATTCTTAGGGTGTTGTAACTTTGTTGTCTTATTTGAGTTTTGCTTTTTTGAGGCAAACTTTTGACTAATGAGAGAAGAAACTTTCTTTTTTCTTTTTTCTTTTTTCTTTTTTCTTTTTCTTTTCTTTTTTTGTGGAACTGATGGTTGAACTCAGGTCCTTGTGCTTGCCAGGAAAGTGCTTATTCTACTGAGCTATCTCCCTGGCCCCGGAAACTTTCATTGAATGTATGTAAACTACTTAACTAGGCAGAAATTCAGATAGTGATTCAAGAAAAAGCCAAAAATCTCTGCATATCTCTCCATCTCTCCCTGCCTCAGTTACCTCGACTCTAAACTAGAAGTGGTAATTCTTGCCTTAGCTGCCTCGGAGGTCTGTTAGATCTTCTGAGACTGTATATGTATTTTATATTACATACACACATATTGTTTAAAAGAAGCTTCTTAGATTTCCAAAACAAATTTTTTTTTAATTGAAGTATTTTACAGGTGACAAAATGATTCAAATTTAGTATATGTGCTGCCGAAGTGAGCACAAAATGATTCAAATTTAGTAGCATTTTTGATAGGTGACTCGTTCTGTCTTCCCCTGCAGTTTTATCCAAAAATTAAGAACAATAGTAGCTTGTGCACATTATAGCTCAGTAGAGGCCTCTAGTTAGTTGCCTAAGAACTGGTTATAGCTGTGTCTTCTGTTAACATTATTATAAGTTTTTTTTAACATTATTATAAGCTGTTTTTTGTCTGCCACTATAAAGCATATAGAGGGTGAGGAGAGATTGTCCTTTATTGATGTTACCCAGATCCCTTTTCTTCCCAGACCAACCCTGGCTGAGATGCTTTCCTTTGTATTTGATAGGAGTGGGCTTTGCAAGCTCTGGTCTGTTCCTGATTGTAACCTCCTTCACACTCTTCGAGGTAAGCTAGCATCTTGTCCAGGTAAGTTAGAGTGTTATTTAGATCCCACTCTCTCCCAGCATAAACTCTGTTAAGCAGTAAAACTGCCTGGCACTCAGACCCCATGCTGCCTTGAGTTTTTAAAAGTTAATTTCTTTCTCCCTCTCTCTGCCCATCTGTCTTTTTCTTTCTTTTTTTCCTATTCTTTCTTTCTTAAGTCTTGTTCTTTTGGTTTTTGTTTTTGTTTTTTTTGCGGTACCAGGGATTGAAATCAGGACTCTGCGCTTGCCAGGCAAGTGCTTATTTAATGAGCTATCTCCCCAGGCCCTTTTTCTTAAGTCTTGTGCAGTTACCCATGATTAAACTCATGATCCCCTTCCATATCCTCCTGAGTAGCTGAGATTAAAGGCATACAATTGATTCTTTTTTTTTTTTAATTTATTTATTTAATTCATTTATTTTTGTGTGTGTGGATTGAACCATGGTCCAAGTGTTTTGCTAAGCTTGTTATAAGTAGGTGCTTTAGACCACTGAGCCATCTCACCAGCCCCCATACAATTGATTCTTGATTTGATCTAACAGAGTTTGGTTTTCTTAAACCACAAGGTGAGACTGTAGTGACCTTATAGCTTTCATGTCTAACCACACTGTTAGCCTTTTCCAGTGTCTGAAACAAAAAACATGGGGGTTTTGTTTTACTTTTTAATTTTAAATCAATCTTTTTTAATAGTAGTTGGATAATCACTTTTTCTGTATACATATACTTGTTCTCTAGTATAAAAATACTTGTAAAAAAAAAAATACTTGTATTACAGTGCTCATCATTTACACATAGATTATGAAAGTGAAAAGGTAAAAACTCATTAACTTTCACCTCTTTACACTTCTTTAGGCCATAATACAAATGTAGGAGCGATTGTATTTCATCCCAAGTCCACTGTCTCCTTGGACCAAAAGGATGTCAACCTGGCTTCTTGTGCTGCTGATGGTTCCGTGAAGCTTTGGAGTCTTGACAGGTATTGCCATTTGCAGCCCATCCTGCCATTCCTAAAGTAGGTAGGTGATTGGCTGGCCCTCAGGACCTCAAGATAAGGATCTGGCATTAACCCCAGAGATAATGCAGACGTCAGCATACTATAATGTGAAAATAGAAATGAGATTTCATTCTTGGACCTTTTTGTAGCACAGGAGATGTGCTGAGTTTTTCTCACAGTTAACTTTGGGCCTCACTTTTTGTCTGTAGCATAGTGGTCACTGTTACTGGCTGCAGTTATTCTGGAAAGAATACCAAATACGCTGTTCGGTAGAAGACTAAATATACTAGTCTTGGCCGGCTGTTGGCTCTTAGCACAGTCACAGGGCAGAGGAAAGCAAGGTACTACCCAGTAGTATTGTCAAAGAATGCTCCTGGTACCTGTGTCATCCTTCTCCTAGGATTTTCCTACTACAACAGGTTTAATTTTTTTTTTTTTTTTTTTTGGTTATTTTTACTAGTCCCCTTAAAAATTTGGAAGCACCTTTTTGGCAGAAATTTGAATTCAGTTGCTTAGTTTCTTTCCTTGGGAAAACACAGCAAGGTTTTTATTCCTGAGTTTTTTAAGAGTTAATTAGTGTTTCCAGTCCTTGCCAGACTGGGTCTTAGCTATGAGCACAGCAGATTTTAATTGGCTGTGGTAATACTTAGCAATGTTGGTTCCCTTGGGGCAGTAGTTAGTTCTGTGTGTGCACATTGATAAAAGTTCCCTTTTTAATTGCCCTCATTAGAGTTCATGTTTATTTCCTTCACCAGTGTTTCAGGTCTTCCTGTGGTTCTGAGAAGCCGACTTTAATGATGATCAGGAAGAGGCAAAGCCTCTTGTTTACTTGGGAATTCCTTTTTCCACTTGTGTCCTTGAATTGTCTAAGATCTGAGGAAGATTTATCTGTAATCCACTTACACCAAAACTATTTAATTTCGGTGTCCTACCTTTACCAAAATATATTTTCTTTCTAGAATCCAAGCACTGCTTTGGTGCAGAGTGTACTTATCAGACTAAAGTACCTTAGTTTTCTTTAATCCTAAATGGCATAGTATTAAGAATTTATTATCACAGTTTATTGAAGGTAGCGGTCAAGTTGTCCTGTGCATACAGGAGATTATCCCAAATGTTATGTGTTTTGTTTTTGAGACAGGGTCTCACTATATAGCTCAGGCTGGTCTTGAGCTCATGGTGATCCTCCCGCCTCAGCCTCTAGAGTACTGGGACTACAAGTGTGCACCACACGCTCAACCACTTTCCCGAATCTTTTAAACCTTGCAGAGTGGTCTAAATTATTGTTAGCCCTAATGTGAAAGGTTTTGTTCTGTCTTTGCTGTTCTGAGTATTGAATCTAGGCCATGGTTGGCAAGTGCTTTACAGCTGAGCCACATCCCCACCTAGACCTAATGTTTTAATAAATTGAGTTTTTGGGGGGAGATAGGGATGGGAGGGAGTACTGAGGACCAAACTCAAGACCTTGCACTTGCCAGACAGGCGCAACACTGAGCTGTCTCCCCAACCCAACAAATTTTTCAGTGTAGTTACGGTCTTCCCCACTTACACAGAGTGGCATAGGAAATAAATTCAGTGAATATTTGTAGATCTTTAAAAGTGTTCACTTACATATACATATGTTTGGTTTCTTTTTAGTGATGAACCAGTGGCAGATATTGAAGGCCATACTGTACGTGTGGCCCGTGTAATGTGGCATCCATCAGGACGCTTCTTGGGCACCACCTGGTAACTCCCCCCCCCCCCGCCCCTTACTGTCTTATTCATATAGGCCTGTGGCGTTTTAGTAACCTGTTTAGTTATCAGCTGGGAAAATTTTTAGAGCAGAGATCTTCAGGTAGTACTTAGGCTGTAGTGAATTGAAAGAGTGTGTATGATATAGGGAGGGATAAGTATATTTACTTTTAAACTGCCACAAATGTATTAGAAGTGTTAATTTCACTCTTAAACACACACACACACACACACACACACACACACACACACACAGCGTTAAATCTCTGCCAACAAATCAGTTTCCCTTTCTGGTCTTGTAAATTCACTGAGACTAGAATCTCTCTAGAACTTTTCCTTTGGGATATTATAAACATATAGTGGAATGATATTTTTAAATTTACAATTTGATCTATTCAAATGTGTACCACCTGTGACCCACACCTGTCAATGTTTAGGACATTTCTATCCCCTAGGAAAGTTCTGTCATGCCTCCTGTTAGTCTCTTCCAAAAGAACTAGTCTGATTTCTATTATGATAAATGCTGTCTATTCATACTGTATGTATTTATGTCCGAGGGTTATTTTGTGTGTCTTTTATTGTTGATTTTTGTTTTGTTTTTACTTAGTAGAACACTTTTAAGACTCATTCCTGTTGCTACATGTATCATTAGTTCCCATTTATTGCTAAAGAATAGTTTATTGTGTGTGTGTTGATGGACACTTGGGCTTATTTCCACTTTTTGGTGAGTCAGGATGAAAGCTGTTATATTCTTGTGCAAGGCTTTTCCTGGGCATATGCTTTTCTTTCTTTTAAGTAAATATCTTGGAGTGCAGTTGCTGGATCATAAGATAGGTGCATGTTTAACTTCAAACCTCCAACGTCTTTCTTTTTTTAATGCTTTCTTTTGTGGGGGTGGTTCAGCCCACCCTGAGGGCCAGACTGGAGCGGCATGTGGTGCCAGGGATCAAACCACAGTCCCCTGTGCCTGCCTAAGCTTCCCTAAGCAGGCGCTTTAGGCTGCTGAGCTATCTCACCGGCCTCTTCTAATGATTTTTTTTTTTTTTCCAACCTCTTTTTCAAAGTAGTTGTACTACATTATGTACCCAAACTGCTGGATGCTTTACTTTCTTCCCGACATCACATGTTGTCAATCTTAACATTTGACCTAGTGTAAAAATCCAGAGGGTAGTGATATCTTACAATTTTGGTTTTTGTTGTTTTGTAGTACTGGGGCTTGAACTCAGTATCTTTGCTTCTTTTTAATCTTTTTCTTTTGAAACAAAGTCTTCCTAAGTTGCCCAGGCTAGGGGGCATACGGGTTAACTTAGTTGTTTAAGCACCTACTGGGGCAAACCTATTCAGGCTCAGGGGACCACGGTTTGATCCCCAGCTCCCCATTCCTTACCAGACCTGCACTTAAAGCAGCCTGAGCCAGAAAAAAAAAAAAAAAAGAAAAACTCTTCTAAGTTGCCCAGGCTAGGCTCAAACTTGCAGTTCTGCAACCTCAGCCTCCCAGAGTTTTAGAATTACAGGTTTGCATCACCATACCTTCTTTGTCAGTAATTCTTATTGGCCTGGTAACTATTGGTATTGGGTACTTGGTTACATGACTACTAATCTACATGTCCTTTTTTTCAGATTTTTTTTTT